GACAAAACAAGACAATCATTCCATTCTGAGGGGTATGGTTGTGGTGTGTTTTTCAATTCAATTCAATTTTATTTCATCCATGAATCATTATACATGATATGGGACAAGTCAAAGATTAATATTAATACTAATAATAAATAGTAATAAGAATATAATAATAATAATAATATAGTAACACAGAGATAATAATATGACAGTATAATTAGTCTTGAAAACAGTTTCTGTGGTCTTAAATCCTCCATATGTCCTATTGTACCTTTACTGGTGGTAATGCCTATGGAGATTTGATGGAATGAGGATTTGACATGGAAAGACTCCTTCATCCTTTCCACAATGTTTTATACATGCAGTCTTCTGAATCAAAGCTGCTGACTAGTGCCACTTCTACAGCGAATATTTAAGTGCCTGTGTTCATGTTCCATATTTTATAATTACATGCTCAGGTGGAAGTCTGATATTTGGAAAATTCTCTTTGAATTTATGGATTCTGCTGAATTCTTTTCTTATGTTTGAAAGTACCAAAGCCATATTTTGTAAAATCCAACAAATTACTTAAACTATTCTGTAGTATGCACGACCCAAGTAAATCAAGTGGGCAAGTTTTGAATAAAATACTTTACTTAAATTGTACTAATGTCAATGCCTTTGCTTTATTTTACCAGCTCCTTACTCTTTACTAAACAGACACACACTACTGAATCTAGTTTATATGTTATGGGTATTTCATTAACTGAAACTTGTGCAGTGAGAATTCAAATATAACAAACAATGAATGTAGTATGTTACCTTGGATTCTCATGTCTTCCACACTTCTTTCTTATACAGTATACATCTCTCCTGTGCTACTTCTTAGAACAGTTTTCAATAACACTATATTCGACATTAAGCAATCTGAGATACTCGCAGCATCATAAAATAAATCACAAAGAAAATAAATAATACTATATAAAATGTGGTGGCACACGGTAGTGCAGTTGGTTGAGGCACTATGCTACAAGCCAGAAGGTAGCGGGTTTGATCCCCGTTGAGGTCTTGGATTTTTCAATTGACCTAATCATTCCAGCCACATTATAGTCCTGCGGTCAACTCAACCCCTAACAGAAATGAGCACCAGGAATCTTCCTGGGGGTAAAGGCCAGCTGGCACATAAGCCTGCAAACCTCACAGCCATCTTTGAGCCAACTGTCTAGAAAGTATGGGAGCCTCAATGTCTGTGGGCATCCACAACCTGTTATGGGGATAGCTTCACCTTACCTTTATCTTATATGAAATGTGAACTCATGTTATGAACACTGAAATTATATGATTATGTACTGTGTATACATATATACGAAATGAAACAGATAACATGGCCGACTTGAAAGAACTACATTTGTCTTAGCTTTGAAGACCTGAAGAAAACAATGACAAATCGTAAACCCTCAACATACAAGCTGGTTGCGTTACTGTTTCTGCTAACCTACTCAATAACACACTTCTTGCTGGGTGCAGATTAATATCGCATAATATCTGTGGTTTAGCAACAACTACGACGCCTCACTAATTTGATATTACATGCTATATAGTTACTGGCTAGAAGTATTGACATGATAAAATCATTCTTTATACGCATGCCAATACTTTCCACACTCCCAATCTACTGCTTACATTTACTTTCACTCGGGCTGTGCTAAAGTTAGATTTTCCACTTAGGACACAGTGGATAATTAAATGATTCCTTGCCTGTATCCGCTGGTTGAAGAAATACGCGGCCAATATTACCGTACAGGCTAAAAATTTCTCGTATTTTCGTTACATTCATATGAGGTGGTAATGTCGAAATGTATATTATGCCACATTTTCGTTTTTTATTCGTAACAGCACCACTAACACGTCTGTGTTCCATAATTTGTCTACTTAAACCATTTTCACTCATTCTAGCCACGCCTGATAATTAAAGTTCTACAGCTTCTTTACCACTTCCAGTGTTTCTAACCTCATAAATCCAACAAACGCACAAACGGGCAGCACGTTCCTACAGTTACTTATGAATCGAAAAATCGCTGACGCCCCTGACAGCAGAGAACGGCAGAGAACGTCACAAAGGTCACGAAGTAATAGGAGCTTCGCACCCTCTCCGCCCGAGCGCTCATGACCGCTCATGACCACGATAACAACAACCATTGTACAAATTCTACAATTCCCTTCCAATCTACTAGATATCCAACCAGCGCCGGATTCACACACATCTTGCGCCAAATAAATCTACACCTACGCAAAACATTAAAGTGAACAGACCTGAGACCACTTCACATTATACCTGCTACTCACGTTCCGTGGTTTCTAAAACGGATCGCTAAGCTTGCTGCACCCCTTGTCTTGGCCCTGACACAACAGCAACAAAGCATTTATACTTACTTACTCAAGGAGCTGAGCCCTTCTTGAGGAGCCGCCAATTCTGCAGCTACTCAAGAATTTCCCAGCATTTTATGGAACCCGAAGGTTCATCATTGTGTTCACAAGAGCCCTCCACTGGTCCCTATCCTGAGTCAGATCTATCCAATCCATACCATCCCATCCTATCTCTCTAAGATCCATTCTAATATTGTCCACCCACCTACGCCTTGATCTTCCCTGTGGTCTCTTTCCTTCTGGCTTTCCAACAAATATCCTATACGCATTCATCGTCTCCCCCGTTCGTGCGACATGACCTGCCCACCGCATCCTCCTTGACTTGATAATTCTAATTATACTTGGAGAAGCGTACAAGTTATGAAGCTCCTCATTATGTAGTTTTCTCCAAAATCCTGTCACTTCATCTTTCTTCGGTCCAAATATTCTCCTCAAACACCCTCAGTCTATGTGCTCCCTTAATGTCAGAGACCAAGTTTCACACCCATACAGAATTCACAAACAAAATTATAGTTTTTTATAATCTAATGTTTATGTTTTTGGACAGCAGACGACAAGACAAAAGGTTCTGGACTAAATGGTAGCAAGCATTACCCGAGTTCAATCTCCTCTTAATTTCCTCCTGAATCAGGTTTCGATCTGTTATGTCATGATTTTGCCCTGTATTTTGGTGACGAGACAACAAGATATACTTAGTTTTCTCTGTGTTCACTTCTAGCTCAACCTCCTTACTTGCGTCAAATAAAGTTTGTGTGTTCTTCGTTATAGTATCTACATTATCACCCAGTAGATTCACATCAACGGCATAGACTAACAGCTGATGTGTCCCGTTTAATTTCAGTCCCACCTGGTTTCCCTGAACCTTCCTAATGGCATATTCTAAAGCAAAGTTGAAAAGGAGTGGCGATAAAGCATCTCCTTGTTTTAGACCATTCTGGATAGGAAATTTATCAGACAAATGGTAAACAGCAGACAGCGCCTGGAGATTTCTCGCCACCATTAATTTCTTTTTAATTCGCTTAGTTGGGGCTGGAGTACAACTGGGTCTACTCGGCACAGCGGCCACTGATTGGCCTATTGTAGCCCAAACCGGGTGATCATGATGATAGAGAATTTTGGTGGAATGAAGATTGGCAGGAGAAACCGAAGTATTCGGAGAAAACCCGCCCCAGCGCCACTTTGTCCACCACAAATCCCAGTTGACCAGACCCGGGATCGAACCCGGGGCGCCGCGGTGGGAAGCCAGCGACTAACCGCTTGAGCTATGGCGCGGCACAGGCATTAATGTAAATGCTGGAGTCATATTTCCGTGGTTGTATTATAATATGTGAGAGGGTTAGGGACTTTATCCGGTAGTTTAGGTCGGAGGACCTCGTGTCAGTGCTAGAGACGACCAGAAATTGTCCCGTCCATGTCAGTATTCAATAATCAGTACTCAGAAGCACCGTGTATAGTATTTATTGGCATCCATTTTCTCATCCACGCCTTTTTGTTATTGTCTCCTCATAAAATGTTCTCTGTAGCTCCATATACAAATTACAGATACTAGTATGTTTCTACAGCTCTTCACATGATCGTGATCCATTTTGTTACTAATAACACATGACACTAACTACTATTTTTTTTTTGTAGACAGCCACTTGAATAACAACTAGCTTGTACAAAAATCGGGCTGTTAACTAGTTGTATTAGTAAACACGTATAACAAGGCGTAAGGAACGCAGAGTGTTACAAAAATTGAAAGTGCAGGCAGCACTTTAACAGTATTGTATCATAATTGCACTCTACTGTGATAGATACCGTCATGAGAAATGAAGGATTCGAGAACACAGTGCATTAATATGGATCTACAACGAAGGATACGTCGTCATAATATAAATGGCTTTATGCTTTAAAATCCTCAATGATAAATATAAAATGAAAATGCTACAAAGACAAACTCACTTTCGTAAGAAGTTGACCCACGCGCCAAGTGTCTTCCCGGGATCCTCGTTATGATCATAAGCTGTGCTCTTCATGCTTAAATTTCATCCGTAATTATCCGTGTTCTGTGTCCCTATCATGGGTCCCAAACAAGTGAAAATGCCACACACTATAAAAACGACCGTCTCTTTCATTATTTACTCGTACTTTCGTTTAAAAGATCGTTTCGCTAGTATTATAGTAGTCACGAAAAACGATTTAAAATGGATGTAAGTCTTCGTGTAAACGGCTTATTTACAGCTGAAATAATCGGGGCATTTAAATAATCCTTTCCTTCATCATGTTTCATAATAATAGTTCCAGCGGTTCTCGAACTGAAAGATAGCTGGATTCAAACTCTCGTGCTCGCATACGCCTTAACCACTCGAACTTGTAGAAAAAGCAGACGGAAGGTTTGCTAGCTTATTGATCAATAGGCTTACGTCACAGTAAAGCTGTTGTGACAGAAATCTATTTTTGCGTGGCTAAATAACTTCTAATGGATATACACGTATAAATGGCAGCGCATTTCAAATACGTTACCATAGAAGTGAAGGAATTTACTCGTACTCTTCCCATGAATACACTACCGGGATATGATTTCTAGCCTTAAAATTTAGTTACTGAAGAAGTCTGATTTACACAGCGGTCTTCAGTTATTGCGAAGATGCGAGAGGTTACAAAGTTGGCCCTTCGTTTACCAAGAGGAGAGAAGAAACAACGCGCGATTTGCCAGTTAGAGAAGGATTCTCAAGTATTGTTCAGAAGTGATGCCAGTAAATATCCCAGTTACACTCAGCTGAACTTACCATAGTAAGTATGCAAAATAGTATCAGGATTCTTCTTAATTTATCTACCTACGATTTACCAACCTCACAATTTTATGCATTAAAAGCGTCGAACGGGATGATAATTCTAAATGTCAAATTTGGAAATTTGGCAAGAAGCAGACGTTATATATTTCAAGGTAAGTCTGTTATCTCAGTAAGTGAATAGACGGGTTGAGAAAACCCGTATCTTCATTCAGGACAGTCGGCATCCGAAATGAAAAATCGTATCTGCGACCTCTCGAAGAAGAAATTTTAACAACTCAACCACAGATTCCGTAATTATCTCTTTTGGACCTGTTATTCGCTACTACTAGCAAATATCGAAAAAAATTCGGTACTTAGACTTTTCACATATTTTCTCTTCTAGGATACGCTGGATGCAAAATAGACTGTTGCTCGGTAGACCACTGTCAGTTGCCGAATGCCAGATAAGAATGAAATCTTGTAAAGCCGGTTTCCGTTTGGGTTCCAAGTGTGGGCGCATATCTTTATTTTCATATGCATACAATTTTCTTAAAGAGTATGTTATGCATAAAATACTAACAATTGATGAAAATCGTTAGAACTGTCTTGGAGAAAATTGCGATTTTGTTTTGGACCCATTTGAGGGGCACATATTTCTCGTGCTGGAATATTAAGATTCATCGGGCAGCGATCTAGGATGGACGGACTCTTGCATACCGGCTGATAATAAAACCGTCCAGCCGTTTAGGTGCTAGCAAGGCGCACATCCATCCATTCATACATATATACATACTTACACACATACAAATACACAGACGGCATTCCCCAATTTTTTTTTCATACTAAGGGGTGAAAACACGTAAATGCGTCAAAATCCCCAGATCGAATTTTTTCAAGATCACAATACTTCCTTATATATAGGCCTACTACGTTCATGAGAAAGTAATAAAAGAATTTAGGAAATGAACATAGTCCAAGTTTCGGAAATGGCATTTGTTATATTTTTCATACTTGTGCGTCCTTGACTCGTTCTCTGGAATTATGCAGCGACGCATCTGCCACATCACAATCTAATGTTTATACTGTTATGACTGGGTCTTGTAGTGTTAGATAGCAGCATTTTCTAGATATTGTGTGGTCATGACAAGTGGTTGTACAGAGAGAGGAGTTGGTGTAAAAGGAAGACAAAAAAAGTCCCACGGAAAATAACTAGTGTTAATTCTCAAGTCGTGAAGGCAAGGGTAATATATTTTTTATGTTATATTCCCCAGTCAACACACATTATTGCTAATAGAAGGAAAAGGTCACGTTCATCCGCTACAATTTAGGCCTCTTCTCTCAATGAAAATAAACCCTCCTGCCGTTTTCCATGACGTTCTATCCATACTGTGATTTTTGACTGAAGTGTTTCCTAGAGTTGTGGTTTCTACATGTTAATTTAATGTTATTTCTAATACTGTAAACTAATTTTAATAATACTTTTAATGTAATTAAACAACAAAGCAGCAAACTACTGTAACGTGGATGGCCAGAGTGTTGCTAGATAATGGACCGGTAAACACTTCGCGATCGAATACACATAAGGCTGAATAAGTCATTGATTAATGGAACAGGCTGATCAAACACAGTATAACGAAATTTAGTCATTTTTAATTTATTAAATAGTATTTATTTTTCTTTTGAGAAGTAATTATCTCAATGGAAAAATTGTCCGGAACACGTGTGACATGCCAGACACTGACCTAGAAGCTAACTGTATTTGTAAGAATTGTATATCTGTAGATCAAAATTAATTGTATATTAGAGGTGTCAACGAAGGCAGGAGATCGGTGTTACTAAATGTTATATTCAAGTATGCAACTTATTGTCTCTCCCTTATTTTCAGTCACTTGGTTTGCCGACAGCGTTACATGAAGGTAATTAAGATGAGAAGAAGACAGTGCAAGGAAGACCTTCGCACTATGGAATTGATGCAGTCCAAAGCACTAGATGGCATTAAAATACATCGTGTATTTAGTGAAGGTTTCCAGCTTCCAGCATCTCTCAAAATATCACATTCTTTTACTCCTGAAGAACGTAGATTGCATGGACTGCTGGAAGAGGGGAGAAAACTGAATTGATATGTGACATTCGCATCTTCACCCAAAACTCTGGTTACTGTGTGCTAGAGGCTTGCTGTTGAAACGTTCACACACTAGGCCTATATAATACAATCGCATAAAACGTAATCTAGCTACTTCAATCTCATATTGTCAGTACAGAGTCTCATTGAAATTGTTTGAAAATAATTGTGCACACGTCTCTCTGCCATTTTTCTCACTTTGCCAAAATATTTCCCTACAGAATGTCCTATGTACTGCATAAAACAGACAAGCGCAACTATAAACGTAGACATAGACAGAAAGGAAATAAATGAATAAGATGTGTCACCTAAAATCTCACATTTTATATGCCAATCACAGTTTCATGCAACCAATCCAGACCTCACAAACTTGGTCCAAGGCAAAACGAGTATGGAAAAAATTTATCACGAAAACGACAGAATATTCAATGTGATGTCTTCCTTTTTAGTGGAGTAAATACAACCACCCAGTTCTAGAAGACGAAGCAATGAGCTTCTAAACAAACAAACAAGAGTTTGAGTAAAATTAAATTATAAACATTTAAAATTTATTTGGGTTCAGTTTCTAACTTTTGGTTCAATTTGTTTGATGTTTTGACTGTTGCAAATAATCACTGTAGCTGAGTAAGCGAGCTGTAAACCCAACACTCAATTTAATGTCTTACATTCAAATGTACGAGTAACTTGGAGTCACTACAGATATTACTCAATTCCATTGCCAAAAATTCACTCTGCAGTAGTTATTTTAGATAAGTATCATCATTTTGAAATAATGTATTGCCTCAATCTTCAGAACAAATCTTAAGATAGACGCACAATTTTGCTTCAGAATTTTGGTACCTATCTACTAAACCACATAAAACAGTAATCCTCACAGTCACTGCTGCAAAACTTCACGCCTCCAAAAGAGAATTCTGCAATTTTACAAAAGTGTATACCATTTTTACGTTCATTTGGGAAAGACACAAATTCCTTATGAACAGAGATAATCAGCAGTAGATACATTGCTTTGCATTGTCTATTATATTTTTATTTCAATAAATTCAAACTGGAAAGATGTTTAAAAAATTGCTGATTTTAATGGGATATACTCAGTGCTTGAGGTAGAATGAAAATAGAACCGGGATGCCATCGCACCGCATCCCGCCCCACCTCAAGCCCTGGCTATTTTACATTGCATTTACTGCCAAAGAAGTAACGAGATGCTTTTAAGCCATTTAGAAAAGAACCGGGATGCCATCCCGCCGCATCCCGCGCCACCTCAAGCCCTGGATATACTCGTATATTTACCAGTGTTTTGTATAGGGGTTTAATGAACTGAAGTTGAGAAATATGTTGAAGTCAGCTTCTAGTAAAATTACCGTTGATCCAAAATGTAATATTCTTGACAAAAATTCAAGTAAACATCTGACACAAAATTATAATAAAATCTATTAACTGGTTTGGGAATAAAGAATACAGTTGAACAAACAGACATAAGATCATGTTTACATATTCATTTTATGCACCAAATGCATGTGAACTACAAATGGACAGATGTTGTCTGGTTATCCTTTCTCTGGTTATATCTTCTGAGAAGAGGTAGTTAAGCCAAGGTTCTGAGTAGTGGGATCGCTATACTGCTCACCATGAAAACATTTTCTGCACACTGCATTGGATATATCAAAGTAATTAACATATTTCTTTTGTACTGTACTTGTAAATTTGAGAGCAGAGATAGCGCAGTTGGAATATCAACTGGCTACCGCCTGGACAACCATGGGGTCAGAGTTCGAGTCCTGATGGGGGAAAGAATATTCACTTCTCCATGTTGTCCAAACTGGCTCTGGGGTCCACCCAACCTCCTATCCAATGGGTACCAGGAGCTCTTTCCCCAGGGGCAAAGCAGCTGGGGCGTGAAGCTGACCATCTGCCTCCAACTAGTGCCAAGGTCAAGAAAACGAGGATCTATACATCCACTTCCCCATACATCTTCATGATGTAGTGCTTAATTAGTTAACCACAGGAACAACTTTATCTTATTTACTTGTAAATTTACTTCGTTCATTTAATGATAAAGTAATGTAAAAGTAAAGCTATCCTTGTAACAGGCCATGGAGGCCCATAGAGTTGTGAGACGTTGATGTTCCCAAATTTTCTAGACAATCGGCTCATATATGGCGGTAAGGTTGTCAGCCTTACGTGCCGGCCGCCCTTTATCCCCAAGAATATTTCAAGAATATTCCTGGTACTCTTTTCTGTCAAAGGCTGAGTAGGCCCCAGAACCATAGTGCGGCTGGAAGAATCAGGTAAATTGAAAAAACACAATGACCTCATCGGGATTTGATCCCGCAACCTTCTGGCTTGTAGCATAGCGCCTCAACCAACTATGCTACATGATGTTGCCAGTAATTCAGACTGTGTCAAATGGCATGATCAGAGAATAATGGATGAGAACGGATTGAAAGGAAATGGTAGTGGAATAATTTGGTGCTCTCACCAGTTGCCTGCAAGGAATGAGGAAAATTGAAAGAAACTTCAATCATAACAGTCACTGTTTTGACTGAGATTCGAAATAAGCACCTGTGGAATACAAGAAGCAGTACTGCATGAACCAATGTGTTTTGCCATTAAATTATGTTCATTATTTATTTATTTAATGATGCTATGACATCTGAATTAAAATAGACAGTTTAAGAATGGAAATGCAGAGAAGTAAGTTAGTTTTCAGAATAAATCGCACTGTCAGTCTTTTAGACAAACTTATCTTCCTGTCACATTTGCATATCATCACATACATAGCATACCTCACAGTTGGAGACATCATAACTGGACAGTAGACATACGTTCCCCTTTCGCTTTGTGCACCAAGAAAATGTTTAAAAAAATCACAGGAAGCAAATTAAAGTGAATTTATAGGAGATTAAACTATGCAATATAGAAAAAAAATGTTCAAGGTTAGTGCCCCAAATGACTCATAGGCAGAGAGAACTTATCTCCTAGTTATCAAAAAATGAGGAGACAAATGGTGTTGTAGAAAGTAACATTTCATTAACTGAATTCTGTAACTCACACACATCATAAAGGAGTTTGTTGAAAATACTTATGTTGCGCAGAGTCTGCCGTTTTAGCGGCTGCTGTAAGAGAAAGTCATATTTCAGAAAAGAGACAAGTACCTGCATACAACTCTTACATATATAAAACTGTAAGAGCATTCCTTAAAATGATAAAAGAAAAATATTCATTACAGATAATACAAAATGGTGTAATCATACAGTGGCAATAGAGTCCTTCACCTTTCCTTTTTAAATATAAATTTCTCTGTATTAACCATTTACAGATCAAACCCAATCAAAACAATATTTAAAAACTGTATCTAAATGAGCAGTGATTCATCTGAGACATGAATTCAATCTCAGTAGCCTTTCGTCACAACTTGATGCCATTGGAGTAAAATGATTCAATAAAAGCAGAAATTTGAAAGATGCTTTACCATTTCTTTCAGACGCTGGTCCCATTTAACATCTGAGAGCTTGCAGAAGTTTGCAACACTCATTTTAATATTACACAGCTCCAGAAGATCTTCAAGCAGATTTATAAAAGTTCTGAAATAAAGAGACAGACATTTTGATAACTGAAGCTGAAGACTTACTTCTGTTCATTACTTAAAGTACAACGGTATTAATGGATGAGATTTTAGGTTCTCAAGGTGGTATTATGATTATGGTCTAGTGGGATGTGACACCATGTACTTCAGTAGTTCAGGTACCAATTTTTTGGAGGACCTGAGACTGTTACCTCAGCTAACAGTGGGGTTTGTTCAGAGTATATTATATGAGGTCTCTCAACTCTTGGCATTCTCCTTGAATCTTCTATTAGGGTGAGCATAATTAGAATATCCCAAAATAAGAAATTATGAGGCAAGAATAGTACAGCAGTTTGAAGTACAGGGTACATAAATGCATTTTTGCAGTTTTGTTTCTTTCATCAGTTGCATGAGTATGTGAAGATAAAGTTCTTTCTCCTATAGTCTTTATGTTTATTAATTTAAGATAAAATTTATCTTTTCAAAAGCTTATTAAGAGCAGATTTAAAACATTCAGTAAAGAGATAAATAATTTATTACTAAGTCTTGTCTAGTAAGACTGAGGACATCAACAAAGCATATCAGGATATCCAAGATCCAGGCCAAGATAACCCTGGGTCTCTACAATGAAATACAGGTCACCTTAACCACTGAACAACAGTGTTCTTCTCAAGCTGGTATGAGGCTATACTGGATTAAATGAGCTTTGAGAAACCACTTCACATACCTGTGTAGATGAAGTGGAATAGGAAGGAAGTCTTTCTTTTTGGAAGCATTTTGCAGCAAGCAAAGAATCACATGTTTCTTATGCAATATGAATTCCAGCTCAGTGTTCATCTTCTCTATTAAGTCATTGCTGCCATCTGAGGAAACAGAAGACCAATTGCCCTTTCTGATCATAAGGTTGTATGGCATTACTGCTAGCAAGAACTCATCGGCCATTTTCCTACACGTAACTTGTGGACGTGTGTCTGTGTGTGTGACTTTGAGTGAGTGAGAGAGAGAGAGCATGTGTATGTGTGTCAAAAACAAAATCAGCAATAAATTCAAACTACAATAAAATGCTTAAAAATGAAATTCAATCTGGGAACAAAAATAACAATAAGAAATATAAATGAATTATGGGATTAAATCAGATAAAAAAGGTAATGTTTTCCCTGTGCTAGACTAATTAAACAGTATGCCATGAAAGCATATGGAGGGGTGGATGTACAAATCCATGTTCTCTTGGCTTCAGCACTAGTTGGAGGTGAGTGGTCAGCTCCATGCCCTGGCCACTTTACCTCCCAGGAAAGAGTCCCTGGTACCCATTGGATAGGAGGTTAGGCGGACCCCAGAGTCAGTCTGGATGACACGGAGAAGTGACAATTTTTTATCTTACTGGGACTCAAACTCCAACCTCTCGGTGATCCAACCAATAGGTAGTCACTATACTCACTGTGTTATCCCAGCTCTCCATGGTTAAATCAGAAAGAATAATAAATTTTACAAGTGCTTCTATTAGCATTTCAAAATTGTTTTATTTTCAAGTACTTCCCAGAACACTGAAAACTAATGTGTGTAAATCAATCACTTTATTGAACATTTTGTATGGTTGTAAAATATAGCCTCTTATGTTCACAGAGAAACACAGTTTACAAGAGTTCAGAAACAAAATGCTGAGAAACATACTTGAAACTAACGGGGATGAAGTACATGGTCAGTTCAGGATACTACATGAGTTGTGTGGTTTATAAACATGAAATCAAATAGATTACAATGGGCTGAATACACATATCAGATAAGAGATAAAAAATGCAAAACTATTTTGATGGGGAAATTCCTTGGAAAATGTCCATCAATAAGATGACACAATAACATTGACAGAAGATGGGAGTGGGTTGTGAAGCTGAATGCTGGATAGAAAACGTTCAGAACAATGTCCAACAGCAGACTAGGGAGCAATCAGCCTTTGGATTACATTATCAGAAATTCTATTTACTAGGCACGAAGTTATAAGAATGTTAATGGTACCATGAAAATGATATGTATAAAGCACAATTTTGCCTTACCAAGCATTATCTTTAATGACCTGTTCCTGTTGCTGTGATAATGGATACATTTCTCATGTTCCAATTTTCTGGTTTTCTCCTTCAAAACACAAACATCACCCATTACAGCAAGTGCACTTTCTGTAACATGTCTTGCAACCTGACAAATAATAACCACTTCATTAGTATGATTCACAAGGAGACCAATCATAATTACTATTAGATATTACAGAAATAAGTTGAGATGACACAATTATTGGAAAACAAGCTTTTATACAAATGAGAACAAGTTGGAAAAGTAAAGTCGTGGTGGCATATTTTTCGTTCCAAAGCATTTTATACCTTATCTAATTCTATTTGACATCAACACCAATGAACACCAAAATTAAAGTATCCTAAACAAATTTAGGGTTATGTAACTGAGAACTGCTTCAACTGGTGCATGCAGATATACATACATACATAGCTTCACAGATCCGTTGCCAGTAATAGGCCGGATATTGAGCTCATCAGAATAGTTAAAAGTAGTTGTAATATGCAACCAAGTCCAAGTAGATACAACCTATATACAATAGGATTATAATACAATTAGGTATTTGCATATATTCATCAATAGAATAGAAAGCTTTCAAGATAAGAAATTCTTTCAGTTTTCGTTTAAATAAATTAACATTATCCTTTAAAATATATAATTTATGTGGCAAATTATTAAAAATTGTTATGGATGTATAATACACTCCCTTTTGTATAATGGATAGTCTAGCTGACGTGACATGTAGTCTATTTTGTACTCTAGTGTTAATTTTAAATACACTATTATTTGTAGGATAATTATTTTCGCTTTAAATTACAAACATGACCATAGCATATATAAAAAAACAGGGAACTGTAAGTATCCCTAATTCTCTGAAAACCTCTTTACAAGAACTTGTAGGTCTCACCGTTAACATTGCTCTAATTGCTCTTTTCTGAGCCACAAAAACTCTTTTCATTGATGCCGAAGAAGAGCCCCAGAAAATAACACCATATTTAAGTTAAGCTTGACAGTAAGCACAATAAGCCATTTTCAACACTTGCCTAGTTATTATAGGCTGTAGTTTTCTAAGCACAAAGGTTGCAACACTCAACTTCTTTATCACATCATCAGAGTATTTTTCCCAGCCCATATGATTGTCCAGACACACACCTAAAAACTTAACATTTACAAAAAATTTAAGTGTTTATATGCTGCAGGATGTATAAATGGATGTAATCTATAGCAACAAAACTTAACCCAATGTGACTGCTCAAGACCTTATCTTCAATACAGAAACTGTAATGTAAAAATAATGAGAACTCCTTATATTTGATTAAAATTATATCAAGTGCCTTGACAATTGATAGTAAAATTAACTGGTCAGAGTTGAAACTCACGGTCAATCTTTAACACGACCAACTTAAACTAATAATAACAAAAGTAAACATAAAAATATCAGACTATGAACAATTCTGCAACATTTAAGGTTTTACAACAGTCAACTCTACAAAAATTGGAAAAAATGTTAATGCCAATCAACCTAATGTACACCAAACAAAAACTGGAATAGATGATGCTGGCAGAACAGCCAAAAGAACAGAACCTAACCCAACCACGAATTTCCAGGAAGCTCAAAGATGATTGCACAAACGAATGGCCAGACACAACTACACTACTTAACCCAGCCCAATACAATTTAATTATACATTTACTGAAAACATGGGGCCTATATGTGTGACGATGCAGTACTTCAAGAGATGATAACCTACTGAAACCCGTGATTAAAAAATGCCAAGTTATTACACAATAATGTGAAAAATTCATAAACTGATTTTTCTAGATTTAGTTACGGCTGCTTAGCAATAAAGATAACAACTTTACCTTAAATGGGATTTCAGCTATATTTAAATCTGCTGCAGTTGTTGTTGATGGCACTTGAATTACACTATATTTTTTGGCTAATGACCAAAAGATATTTTCTTGTTTATTTATACTCATAATGAAGAGCGGTACTTCCCGCGTTCTTTCAGCCTTAGTTCTTATTTCTTTCCAACGATAGCGTTACAAGACGTGCCGTGATCTGTCTATACAGTATAGCCAATAACATAATAATGTAATAGAAATTTGAACCGATCTGAACTTAACACAGTGATCAGTGTTTTGTACCAAATGACCAATTCCTGTCATATTTTATTAAACTGCCATATTTATAATTTTCAATACCACACAGTCTGAGTAATCTGTATTAGCAACACAATATTTCATTTGAGGGAAACCACTACGATTGGTGTTAGGTATTGCATTGCCGCAAGTATAAAACGCGGTTGAACCACGATAACTGTCACTCTGCTGAAAAAATTAGGGAGGATCTGTAAATTTGACAATCCTTTAGTCATCGGTTACCAGCATTCCATTATTTGTGCATAGAAGGAGTAGGTTTAGAATAACACACATTCGGCTGTCGTTTAGCATTTGGTGTAAAAAGTCGAATTCCAACTTAAATTAATAAACTTCCCTTTCAGACTAATAATTGAGAATTCTATATTCTGTTATATTACGGCAAAGCTATAACCCGTTGTAAATATTCACAAATTGTCGCTATTAACACGATACAATGGTAATAGGTTGGACGTCCGCGTTCAATAATGTACACGTAATGGCTGAGTAATTTCAGTGTTTATTGTGACAATTTATCGGTTTATAGACGTATAGGCCGGTCACGGTAGCCGAGCGGTGTAAGGCATGTACTGTCTTCGCTCGCGTGGAAACTGGGATCGTGGGTTCGAATCCCACTCAGGGCATGGATGTTTAGTTTGTGTGTGTGCGTTTTTCTGTGTTTGTGTACAGCTAGAGGCCTTGCGACGAGCTGATCACCCGCCCAAGGAGTCCTACCGAATGTGTATGATCTAGAAAAACCGAAGTGAACGGAGAAGTTCATGGAGGTAGGCCTTGTACGCAGAGATCTGGTTGTAAATATCACTAGTTGAGGATGAGGTTGGCAGGTCTTGTAGCACGAAGGGGAAGGCGAGGAATGCATATAGGATATTGGTGGGAACGCTAGAAGGAAAGAGGCTACTGGGAAGACCAAGGTGTAGGTGGGTGGACAATATTAAAATGTATTCTAGTGAGATAGGATGGTATGGTATGGATTGGATTGATCTGGCTCAGGATAGGGACCAATGGAGGGCTCTTGTGAACACAGTAATGAACCTTCGGATTCTACAAAAGGCTGGAAAATTCTTGAGTGGCTGCACAATTGGCAGCTTCTCAAGAAGGGCTCAGCTCCATAAGTAAGTTTAATATCACTTCACCCATATTCTTTGGGTTGGAGTTGAGTGAACTTCTATTAAACTTGGTCCCCCACCCCCTTTCCAAAAAAAAAAATAACAGTGGAATAAGAGCCTCTGCAGCTCTGGAGTACAAGAGATTAGGTTGCAAATTATTTATCTGGAGGTTTGTCACCAGTGCCTGAAAAGTCATAACCTTTCTTTCACGTGAAACACCTCTTTAACTAAAGGCACTCAACATTGTGAACCACAGTACATGGAATACAGTGACATACATAGAATACTTGTAGTTACTATAGGATTCTGATGATGGTGTATAAACACTCAAGAGATATTGGGTTTTCAGACTTTATCCATCGTCCTGGTTTTTAAGATAACTAAGAAAAAAAAGCAATGTTTCGGAAACTGGATCTGTTTCCGTCCTCAGGTGAGGGAAAACACCTATTCTGTTGGGTCCCTTAGAAATCACAATCCAGTGATCAGTGGTATAGTATACTTCCGATTATTCATGCAATGAAGGGGAAATGACTGATCCTAAAGGGTTCTGACAATGGCGCATAACACAGGATTACTGGACAAGTCAAAAAACTCAGTAATCCCAAGGGGAAACGATGAATGAATGATAGGAAAACATGTATAATCCAAGACATTTTACGGAAATCCAGAAATGTGTTTATAGTGTCCAGTTTGTTTCAGTGCCTTGAAAACCATACAGCTTATAGGAAAAGTTCATCAAACATAATATGTGTTTCATTTTTTCGACAACTTGTATTTAAAACATTTTTGCTCCAATAGATATTTAACTAGTTATACCTGAGCTATGCACAGAAATGCATGTATGTCTTAAAAACTCTCCAATTTAAAATTTCAAGAATATCCATCGACTGGTTTATTTGTACAGACAGATGGATTAAGTAAATTTAACACGTGCTCTGCAGGGTTCATAATGCCCCTAAAAAGGCACACGGATAAACAGCAAATCAAATTACATGTCTATGTATTAAGTCTGTCAATAATGCAACAATCATTAAAATATTCACCATTTAACATTAACACAACATGTTTTGGCCACAGACAGCCATCCTCAGGTGTTTCAATGCGTCCAAACTGTTACACTGCTTTGATGTACGCTAAAATTGCTTGTTGCAGTCCACTTAAAATAACATAAATAATTACTTAAAATTCATTAAACATTTTCTGTTAAACAAACTATGTAATAATGAATAAAAATACAGAAGGACTATGGCCACAAGTGTTCAGTTGGAAAAATTAGCAGTTGTTTTCCATTTCACTAGCCCGTCTGCAATCTACAAAATGCCATATGTTGTTGTTGATTTCTGATTGTTATTATTTATGTTGTGTTATGTTGATTTGCTTTATACTCGCATGCCCCTTGCTTGTGTGTTGTTCCCTCTAGTAGCGTGTGGTGTGTTTGTTCCCATATTTATATGCCCTGGTTGTGAGGAGTGGGGGAGGGTATGATGTTATATTGTGCAATTCTTGTATAATACTTCAAATATAGGATTGTGTATGTCGATATTAGTGTCATTCATATGTAGATTTTCTTTACTTGTTTTGTAAACATGAAATTTCTTGAGTGTATTAAAATATTTTCCGTTCCTCCCCGTTGTTATAAGTTCCATGGTATCTGTTATTGTGCCATATGTTACTTGAATATCCAGAGTTACTATTGTTACTGTTTATGTCATGAACGTGTTCTTTGTATCTGGTCTTGAACGTTCTTCCTGTTTATCCAACATATGTGTACTTTAATGGGCAATCTAGGCATTTCATTTGATAAATTCCACTTCTACTATATTTATCTATATGCGGCTGTGGCTTTAATGTGTTCTGTATTGTGTTCTGCGTACGGAAGGCCATTTTTATTTCTGTGTCTCGAAAAAGCTTTGTGATTGCTCTCACTTCCTTACCGCTGTATGTGAAGGCAGCCCACTTTGCTTTTTGTGCTGCGAGTCGGCATGTGAATTTTGTTTGTTCTTTTTCTTGGGGGGGAGGTTGCTAATTAAGTTTATGTCGTATTTGTTATTACGTAGTATGTTTGATAGAAAAATTTTAATGAATTCTAAGTAATTATTTATGTTATTTTAAGTGGACTGCAATGCGCATTTTAGCGCGCATCAAAGCAGTTAACAGTTTGGACGCATTGAAACACCCGAGGATGGCTGTCTGTGGCCGAAACATGTTGTGTTAGTATTAAATGGTGGATACTTTAATGAATGTTGCATTATTGACGGAGTTAATACATAGACGTTTAATAAAGATGTGCAACAGGATGCTGAAATACAGAATCAAATTGAATAATCCAAGCATGAATAATTGGGTGTGTACTGTATTGAATCCTCGTCTCATTACGAGCCACACAACACTACAAATTATTTACTGTGTGGTTGCAACCAGTGGTGGAGTGCAGCTGTCTGTAGAAGATCTACTCATGAGACTACCTGTGCATGAAGACTGCAAGACTGGGAGACAGAAGTTGCCTGAATGCTAAAGCAGCTAACAAACTTAGTATTTTAGTCATTTTTCTTGGAATGTGTTGGTTTTTACAGATGTCATTTTACACGTAAAATTATCTTAATTATTTAATTAATGTTTAATTTCTTCTTCTTGTACATCAAGCATTAGGCCCCAATTCCTGTTGGGGCTCCTCAAGTTTAAGGAAAATAAACAGAAGTTTGAAAGAAGCTAGAATATTGCCAGTTTTTATATAGGGGGACAGGATGAAACATGTGCTACATTTTTAAAAATAAATAATTGACACACTTTGACCCCCATTTGTCTTCATGGCATGCTTAACTAATTAAGCACATGGACACCTTTATCTTTACCTTACAGTCTTCTGAATCAGCGTTTCTTGTAAGGGCACTTGAATGAATTGACGATTCCCAAATCTAAAGGCTGTAGCTGGCTCGTAGAGTTAGTTGGGAGTAATACAACTTTGTTATTGCTGAGAAATGTCGTGTCCTTTGGGTGAGCAGTACAATTATTTATGAAAAGCAAGATTTTGCGATTTTTAGCATTCATTTTTCTACCTAATTGTGTGAGGTAATCCTTATTGTAGCATATTTGATCAAAGCAAGAACTGTGAAGCCAGCAAAGACAGTCGTTGCCAGGGACTGGCTCTGCAAACATTCCCGTTGCTAGGCAACAGCTTCGTAAGCATGCAACAATGTCAGAGCCATTCCTAAACATGCCCATGTAACAATGGAAGAATTGTTGGGAGAAATGTTTCCTGTGCGATCTGTGCCACTCTATTCCTGGGGGATATAAATATGGGGACCTGACCCTCCAGGTTGGGGGAGCCTCAAATCTGAGACAGTAAAACATCATGAGTTCCGTGAGACTTGGAACTGAGAATGACTGCGCTGGCAAGGACCAGCAGCAATTGTATGTGACAGATCAATCTTCTTGTCAAAGAGGATGTTACAGAAGGACTTTGACCACAAGTGTTCAGCTGGAAAATAAAAATTCTGGTCGTGGTTCTCAAGGGGCTTGTTGCCAAGACAAACTGATTGGCGGTAAACCACCAGTAGTAAAGTAACTCTAACTCTGACTACGACAGAGTCCTGATAGGTGCCTTATAGAGGTGGGTTCGAATACCTCCACCGTAGCACCGCAAATCACAGGAAGTGATGAAAAGGGAACCCAGTGCCGGGGGCTATAACTACGCCATGCCACTCTTGGGGAATATAAATACGAGGTCCTGATCTTCCAGATTCTCAGAGTCTCAAATCTGAGACAGCAAAATGTGGTCATGAGTCCCGCGGGACTGAGACCTGAGAATGACTGTGCTGGCGAGGACCATCAAGAATTTTAAATGACAGAACCATGTAAGATTTGAGGTTTTCACGGCGGTGACTATGAAGAAAGCAGTCTTCTGGGATGTGGCACCATGTAGATGTGGTGTTAACCGACGTTTCGGAGGAACGTATCGCCTCCATCTTCAGGGTAGAAGGAAAAATAAGAAATCCGTGAGCGAAGAGACCGTGAGAACCGGTACAAGCAAACTGGTGTTGGAAATAAGCACAGCTATGTGAGAGCAGTGAAGGGGGGGGCAAGTAGGCATGGGAAATCAGTGAAGTGGGAGTGGGGAAGGGTCTGGGGCAGAAGCAAGGTTTTGTATATGATATTGTGTTGGGGGAGAGAAAGGCAAGGTTAAAGGGAGGGCACTAACCCTTAAGCTGGGGGGGGGGGGGTTGCTATGTTAGGCTACACAGGCCATGACAGTTATCCATCGACACACTAAAAAATGGGTTTTCAATCAATCAATATTTCTCAGATTGAATTTTCCTTCTTACTGTTACATGTTTCAGTGCTCATGGGACCATCATCAGGCAGTATTATAGGTATAATACAACTAAGGTGGATTGAACTCACAATATGGATCCATATTTTGGTGCAATGCATCCATATTATAAAAGGTATGTCTTACTTTATAATGTGACAATTACAATATTACCATTATTAAAATATCAGAAATATACAAGGAATTTGTGTTTAAAAATACTGGTACATAATATTATATCAATGGTGTTTAATATGTTACAAGATATTGTATACTAAGAAAACAGAATTTTAGAATTATTAATAAAGAATTCAATGTTACATAATTAAAATAAATAAAAATATTAAAACTATTATGGAATATATGGTTAAAAATTTCTCATGTAGAGTTGACATTCCAATGTTGTGTGATAGGTCATGTGAATCCACGCTGTTTTAAGCCTCTCACAACGTGGAAGTTATTTCACTCAGGGTTGTGTTGTATTAAATGTATTTTATGGATGCTATTACCTTGGGGCTGTTAAGTTGTGTTAATATTATAGTCTTGGGTATAAGTCATAATATATTGTTTACTATCGCAAATATGTATGTGTTCCTTCTCTATAAGCGTTGTGTGCATTGTGGCTTGGTTCAACGTGGAGTCCATACAGAAGGAACGCACATACCTTACCTAACCATGTGTTTGTGACACAATAGGATGCACATTTTGAAAAAAAGAATGTGGAGTACTGCTGCAACATTTAGCTGTTCAAAGTCACTGTTCTAGGGTTGAAGTCCACTTAGATTTGAATTTATGTCCTTAGCAAAACATTACATTTCCATTGCACAGATAAAGAATATTTTCATAAATAAATTATGTTTCTTTTATTATGTAATCTTTACTCATCATATATAGAGCACACAGTACACATTTCTTTTGCTTTTAAGACCAGAATAAATATTACAATCCATTTTAATATACAAAGTGATTCTAGCAGTTTCATAAAAAGTGAAGTTGAGGACAATTCAGTTGGTACCAGCTAAGGAGAGTCGCTGAAAAATTAATCAGTATAAAGGTAATATACTTTTAACAAATCAATCTGCTAAGTGCATAGACATTATATGAATAAATAATTAAGCAACAAAAACAGATTGCTGCATATTACACATTAGTACACATCACAGTAGGTACAAATAATGCTAAATGATTCTACAATAATGAATAGGAAGAATATTCAGCAACAGAACTTGAAAGATACTCTACCACCAGTAGCTAACTCACTGTGGTATGTGTACACATCCAAGCCATACTTGCAGTCTTCTTTAGTTTCTGAGAGCAGAGTAAATCTACAGTTTCCTCATCTAAAATCCTCCCTGTATACAGTCAAGTTAAATCAAATTCTGGACAACCAAGTGATGCAGTAGTTGTCTCTACTTGCTCTTAAGGACGGTAATTAATTACATGGAATGTGAATAGAAATGCTAGATATGTACTGAACATTATATTAAATTTCACATTTCTGCATTCACAACTTTCAAAATAACAATTCTCAGTAACACTGATTGGCCATACACACATTTCCAGTGTCAAGATAAGTACTAGGGCATACCCCGGGTATGAGCACTGTCTGCACTGTTAGCCAAAGAATGTACTTACATGTTGTATTGCATTTATTTTTAACGCCTATTTTAGGGGCAATATTGTATGCATATCCCACTGTTACACAATTAGCTGAGAATGCTTGTGGACTGAAGACTGTTGCGATTTTAATGCAACCATATGAAAGAGGGACTGGCTAAATTAAGTTATCTATTATAAAAATATCCAATACCTATGGATTCTCTCCAACCTTCATATTACAATACTCCTGCCAGTTTTATGGCTTTCATAGTTACATACATAAAAGATAAGAAGAAAATGAAACTCAATGACTTCAGAGGGAAATAGAGATCAAGAAAAATATATGGCTTTCCATCAATGTTTACAGCAAAGCAAACATGACCAGACACAATGAACTAAACTTACGAGGAGAAGCATATTGTCATAAGTGAGTGATTTTTACACTTCTGCAGTTCTCATTTTAATATTTCTTTCTGCCTATATGCAGCCACGGTGGCTGGTACAATATAAAAAGCATAGTTTATTTCTGTCATGATGCAGTGCAGACAGCTGTTCTTTGAGGTTATAAAGATGAAAGGGTATCATGATAATCTTGAGAGGTCTAATTTAAAGGCTTCAAGAATAAATATAATAATATTCTAATAATTAATTTTCAGCATTTCTGTTCACTGTAATATCAAGTAGAAATTTGAAAGGAATATAGAACTTATATTAAAATTAAGCATAAAATTAAAACAAGAAATCTAAGAGAAATGTGTGACATGTGTTCAAATGTGCAGTGCTTCTGGAGACAAGTTAAAAAGTTTCTCCACAATTTATATTATAATCAACAGCCAGTCAAATAAGAAACATAAACTAACTAATTGAAAAGTAATACACCACAAGCCCAAAACCAAAGAGCTCTTCTGAGTCCACAAAATTGGTCAGTTTTAATTTATGTATTAAAGAGATGACACTGCTTATCAAACTTGTATCATGAGCAATGTTACATACACTAGAATGATAAAATTGAGAGATAAATTGAATATTAATTGGACAGATCCACAGCCATCTTCACTACAGTCCACAGCTACAAGAGTGCTAGATTCTAACATATTCAATTGACTTCTGTCAAGTATTTCATACAAACTGAATATTGGTTACCATACAGATGAAATGAGATTCTGTGTGTCATGCCAATTCGTTGCTGAACATATTTCATTTTTCTATAATGTAACCATCATTAAGAATGGACCACATGCTCTTATATGCTTAACTGCCAACCATATGAAGCCAAACTTTCCATTTCTGTTTTCACAAAACAGGCTGTACTGGAATTATGCACCTTCTCAGTGAGGCAGGGGAAAAAAATCATAGTTAACATATTCACACAAAAGTTTAATAATAATGTCAACATATTATACAGCCTTGCTTCTTAATAACAGCTTTACCTCAGGATGAAGATTAGACTAACACATCATGTACCAGTCATAAGAATTCTCATGATTTGCATACCAGTTCCAACAACCTTGCATTTTGTGCCGAGATTCTTGTGACAACATCTTTAACAAATTCTGGGTATTTCTGTGTGTTCCATGTTGTATGAATACATGGAACAGACACTAAGTGTCTATCATTTGAATTTTCCAGTGTCGAAATATCATTTCATGGCTATTCTTTCGCCTTTTAAAATCTTACTTATGAGACTGTCAATTCCCATCAGTTCCAGTATGAACTAATTCAAGTGTGTTCAAAATCTCCTTGAACAATGGTGATATTTTGAGTGAATGTTCATCTACCTTGGTGAGAGTAGTGACAATTCAAGTGGGTCAAAGTCAGCAGTAAAAGGCCTCCACATCTGCTCCATTCCAAATGGAATCCTGGAGTGATATCATGATAACAAAACTGATACTGACATTCATTCAGGACGGTCATAAAAATAATGACTGTTCAATGACAGGAATCTCTCCAAAGGCACTAAATGCTTTTATACATTTCATACAAATGTTCAAAGATGAGCAAAGATATTGGTTTCACATGACTATTAGGTAGCTCCAGTAATAATATTTCTATAGTCTAATTATATGCCTGAAATTTAAGGTAACATGGAGCATTTACTTTTGGTACACAATGTGCAGCCAAATTTCAAAACATGGCTGCATACTGCCCCGTTCTTAACCTGTGGTGGATGGTGCAACTATGTGACAAACACGCTGCCTGCCTGCACAATGCTACTATTCATAGCAAACACTGAGCTGCCTGTTATAAGAGTAATTAGTCTATTCTAAATGTTGGAAAGACTATAGTAACAATACAAACAACAAATTAATGGTCAACTATTAAATATAGGAACTGCATTCTGAAGAGAATTTACACTAGCAAGCAATTAAGATGTGGAAAGTAAATTATACACCACCTGCAGAATTAGCAACTATATCAGTAACTGATACAATGCTCTTCTCTCATGTAATAAGACAAAATAGTTAACTTTAAGAAAGCAGTCTTCTGGGATTTGGCGCCGTGTAGATACGGTGTTAACCGACGTTCCTCCGAAACGTCGGTTAACACCACATATACACGGTGCCAAATCCCAGAAGACTGCTTTCTTCATAGTCACCGCCGTGAAAGCCTCAAATCTTACATAGTTAACTTTAACTTGTGAAAATATATGCTTGATACAATATAACTGTCTCACAAAGATTATATAGAAAAATGATATCTTATTAATAAAGGCTTTAAAGCAAGGCCCATTGGATGGTAAGTTCTTGAACAGTCAATAGAGTGAAATTATACTTCCTTACCAATATGCCAAATGCAAAAACTGTTTTGATATTTAAACCTCTGCCATAAATCTAGGAAATATACAATCAGCTAGGCTTTTGAATTTGCTGTAATCCCATCTGAATACTTACTGTACACCCTATACTGAAGCTCAATGAGATACTAAGAATGAGGTGGAAGAGTTCAAATAGTTCATCACATGATGTGTCATTCTGAAAGAAAAGAGAAGAAACTAAAACCAATGTAAATAAAAAAAACTGAACGCAGACACAACACAAAATTAAGATTTTCTGCAATTTCCGCAAGACTACCACTCATTCATTCATTGTATATTCCATAAATCCATATACATAGATATAGAACCAGTCACATAGTTAATATAGTACAATACAATTATAAATATATATGTACAGCTTATAATCATTATAATAGATAAAAAAAACATGTGTTACATTTACAGTCTTACATCACTATACATAAAATTATGCAATATTAAAATTGTTTATGTTCCTTATTTCTAGGCAAATTAGTTTTGCAATAAAAATGTTGTCAACTGAATTTAAAAATTTTTCAAGTCATTAGACGTAGATTCGATTTTTGGTGGCAAATGATTAAAGATCTTTACGCCCATGTAACATATTCCTTTTTGGAATTGTGTTAGACTAGTTTGCGGATAATGCAGATCACAGATAGATCTGGTACCACAATTATGCATTTGTGAGTTGAATGTGAATAATTCCTTATTTACTATAACAAACAGGGAAATCGACAATATATTGAGCTTGTAGTTGGAGGATATCCAATTCTTGAAACAAACTATGACATGATGTTCTCTTTGTTGTATTTGTTATAATCCTAATTATCCTTTTCTGCATCCTAAACACTTTTATACTATGCGGGGAGTTACCCCAGAATATTAATCCATATGTTATTATAGAATGTACATAGGAAAAATACATAATTTTTAATGTCTCCAGTGGTAAAAAGGATTTAACTGATCGGATTGCAAAACAGGATCTGTTTAACTTATCAATTAATGCATCAATATGAATTTCCCCCACCATTATCTAATGAAAATGAGAAAGTGAAAGAAAAGCTGCCAGTCATTCGACAGAATCCAACATAAGATAGTTCACACCTGAAATTAACATTTCAGCTAATACGTGATACAGTCATTAATTTCGTGGACTCTGGTTTTGTTGCATCATATTACAAGGTATTCACATACACTTACACAGATCCACATCGGCCCTCAAACTAGTTGCCGTTGGCCGCTGTGCAAGTCTGCCAATGTTGATGTAACTGCCGAAAACATTGCTGAAACATATTGGCGGGAAATTCCCACATGGTGTCTCTTGTGGGTATTTCTGATTGGCAGGAAGTTAAACAAGGTGTGCCACAGGGTTCAATACTTGGTCCCTTGTTCTTTCTTTTATATGTTAATGACTTGCCTTACTTGACAAATAAAATACCAAAACCAATTTTGTATGCTGATGATACCAGCATACTGTGTTACAATTCTGATTCTGTGGAACATATAATGGTATTGAAAACGATACTGAACAAAATAGACGCATGGTTTATGAATAATTTGTTAGCATTAAATTTTAACAAAAGTAAATACTACATCAAACATAAATCTAAACTATAAGGATGTTCAAATTAAAAATACTTGTAATACAAAATTCCTAGGACTAATCATAGATAATACCTTATCATGGAAAGATCAAATAAATCAGTTGGTAACTAAGCTGAATGCGGCTAGTTATTCTATTAGAACCCTATCTGCAGTTATGACTCAGGGGAGTTTAAGGATTATTTATTTTGCATATGTACACTCCATTATGTCATATGGAATAATATTTTGGGGCAACTGAACTCATAGTAATTTAATTTTTAAAATCCAAAGACGAATAGTGAGAATTATTATGAAGGCAAGAAATAAGGACTCTTGTCGTCCATTGTTCAGGCAGTTAAATATTCTGCCCTTATATTCTCAATATATATTTTCTGTATCAATTTTTGTTGTTAAGAATTTAGATATATTTAAATTTAATTCTGCTATACACAGCATCAAGACCAGACAAGGTTTTGACTTACATTTTCCAAGTAATAAATTAGCTAAAGTGAAGAAGGGTGTATATTATTCAGGAATTAGGATATTCAGTAATCTACCACAAGGCATCAGGAATCTATTAAATGATATTACTAAATTCAAACAGGCTCTAGAAGAGTTTCTTCTTGCTGGTTCATTTTGTTCTTTAAATGAATATTATGAACAGAACACAAGGGGTGATCTTGGTTCTTATAAATAGTATCTAAAATTAACCTTAACAAGTCCTATTAACTAACTAAAAATATATAAATAATCATGTATTTTAGATTTGCATAGATACCAACTATGACTTTTATTTATTTATGAATGTATTTATTACCATAATAATTTTTAGTACACTTCTGAGAGAAGTTATTTATTCCATTTATTGTTCATGCATATTAGATGTTTTTGTAGTTTTTCTTTTGATGTGTGAGTGATGTAACCTACATTATTTGATATTGTGTTGTTTATTGAGAATATCCATTCATATGCATTATTTTTATAAACTGGATGAATTTTATAAGATAAAAGGTTAATATGTTTCGTCTAGTATTTAAGTCTTGTTGTAGTCACATTTTATTATGTTTAGTGACTGTGTTGTCTATGTTTTATATTATGTTATTTTGACTTGTTCCAGTGATTGGTTGGAACATTTGTTTTGATTTTTGACGCATTCTATATCCAGTGGTATGACAACTTGTTTCTTGTCCTGTAATTGGATCTACTTGAATATAAGAATAAATTATTATTATTAATTACTTCCTCGGACGACTGAAATCTACGACCATGTAGCTTTGCTTTCAAGCGGTGAAAGAGAAAGAAATGGCATGGTGTGAGATCAGGTGAGTACGGAGGGTGTGGCAAAATGGTGACCTGTTGCCTTGCCAGTTCCTCTTGGACAAGAACAGAGCGATGTGCAGGGACGCTGTTGTGTAGCAACAGCCAGCCAATTCTTCGTACGCCAAATGTTTCACTAGGGGATGTGCCTAGTTTCTGGCAGAACTTCATGTTTGTCCATTGTTCAAACTGCCATATTTTCGATTTCTGCCACTCACATTTAACTGCAGTACACAACAGAGACCATAGTTCTGCTTACACTGTTTGCACACAACTGTCTCTTGCTGTGACGAGAGATGAACTGACAGGGCATCATATCGTGCCTCAACCTATCCGCTTTAGTGCAATGCAACACTGCTTTGCGGCCAGTCCACGAAATTATTGACTGAGGTAGTATATATGGAATACAGAATACTTAAGTTATTATACATAATGCAACTTATATTACACACAATACACAAAACAATTCCATATATTAAATTTAATTTACGGATTATAGCCCAGACCAACAACTTCCATTCTCACTTATGTTCAGGCCTTCTACTAGGGAATAATTATAAATTAATTCATTAAGCAGAAGTAATGCTGGAATGTGAACTTCTGACACAAATTCATTCAACTAACTGTAAGTTCAGATGCAAGAGTATCACATACCAAACCCAGTGTTTGCAAGCGGCATCAGAAGTTTGTAAATAGCTTAGGAGAGAGGCCTGTCTTCTGGTATGGTAGGAGTAGTTGCTGGTGTGGCCACAGATCCATTGTTGGCTTTGCGATTTGCCTCTGCCTCTCGCAGAGCTTCATCAAAGCTTTGAGTAGAACTGGAACGTGATGTCACAACTTTTGTCTGCAATGAAGGACCTCAGGTTACATTTAGCATTTTTCCATAAAGTGGAGAAAGGAAGGTGAGGATTCTGTCTTGTGGCCTTGCATCAAAAGTTAATTACTTACTAATCATTAACTTATGTTACTGCTAAATTACCGAGCAAGCAACCCAAAAGCAAGAAAGAGCTATATTGTTCTGATGATTCACATTGATATCATTCCCATATCATGTATAATGATCCATGGATGAAATAAAATTGAATTGAATTGAATTATATTTATATTTAAAAAATGCAACACACATAACGTTACTTCAAATTACTGACATTTTAGAAATTACATATTTGAGATAAAACATTACACTGAAGTAAAAACTGAAAAAAAAAAAAGCACTGTATGCCACTATATACAAAATTAAAACATTATTTCCACATCTCACACTATTCTAGGAACAGAAAAAGTAGATAAATATCATCCCTAAACATAATCAATAACTTTCCTCAACAAAGCTCATACACTCCAGATATGAAGGGTTAGTAATGATGATTGAGTCACCTTAACATTCTCGTATGCTGAACCAACTTTCTCCTCAAGAGAGCGGAATGATTCTGAATTCTTGAGCTGTCCAAGCTTCGTGCTTACAGATGATCCAAATCCACCCAGAATAGATGTAGTTTTCTCTGCTGTTGTCTTAATTACAGATTCTGTTTTCTGATACCTAAAAAATCAGCATTCAATGAAGTCACTATCATAAACTGAATATGGAATTAAACTACTGTTATTATAAGGCAGGTGAAGGAAATGCTGACATTACAATTCTCAGTTACAATCTGGTTCTGCTTTCCACCTGCTTTCATGCTAAGCTTATTCTTCAACCCTGAAGATGGGGGGATATACTTCTTCAAAATGTCGGTTGACATTCATCGGACTACATAACATTATATCCCAATAAAAAGTACTTTTCATAACCAATGCTGGGGAACCTGAAATCTTACTTACTTATTACTGTTTGTTTATTCATGCTTGATTTCCCCTTACTATAGTAGTGAGACATGGGTGTTAAAGAAAAAGGATGAAAACAATTTAAGAAAATTTGAAAGAAAAATTATTAGGAAAATATATGGGCCAATAAAATAAGAAGAGCAGTGGAGAATTAGAAACAATGAAGAAATAGATGAGAGAGTGAAGAAATAAGACATACAGTTAGATTTATAAAGGCAAGAAGAATTGACTGGCTGGGACAGGTAGAAAGAATGGAAGCTAACAGAATGCCATGGAAAATCTTGTATGAGAAGTATTATTCTTATTATTCAAGTACACTTTCGATAAAGCATATACATGAAGACAGCACCAAAAACATATACAGGACAAAACGACATACGAAAAAAGAATACAACAACAGTATTCTAGATATGAGCTACAACAAAATGACGATGTGCACGGGAGCACGAGAGACAAGTGAACAGTGCAGTGGTCTCCCCACAAATTAAAAGTTGCCTGATGATGGCACATATGCGGCCAAAACATGTTGCAAAAATTGGAAAGAAACATTATGTAAAACAGAAAGACATTTTGAAGTATTTTGATAGTCACTTTTAGTGTATAAGATGTACCTGCAGTGTCTTAATGACATTTTAGGATATTTAATAAAATTTTAAAGTATTAAAGTTATACTTTTAGTGACTAATATATTTTAGGTGTCTTTTATATGAGGGTTGGAACTTAATAGTGGAAACTATTTATTTCCAACTGATACAAAATAGATGCATGTTTTGAAGTTTACTGTCCTTCAATGTAGTCACCAGCATTGTGTACAACTCGTTGCCAGCGATGTGGAAGTCGTAGGATACCTTTAGCAGCGCCTGTTGTGCTGATAGTTCGAATGGAGTGGTCTACTGCCTTAAGAATCTCTGGAACAGTTCTGAAGCGAATGCCACGAAGTGGTTTCCTCATCTTAGGAATCAAGTCGAAGTCACAAGGGCTTGAGTATGGGGAGTATGATGGATGGTACAGCACTTTCCAGCCCCATCGATCGAACAAATCAGCCACAGCTTGCGCTGCATGCGGCCGAGCATTCTCCTGCAAAACGATGGGTGGGTTCTGAAGAAAGTGTCGCCACTTCTTTCTCAAAGCTGGTCGCAGGGTGTGTTCCAAAAATGAACAGTAATGCTGCGCACTGACGGTCTGCTGTCGGGGAATGGTATGCATTAGGATAACACCATCACAGTTGTACATGAGAATCACCACAACTTTCACACTGTTGGGGTTCTGACGAACTTTTCATTTTCGTGGTGACCCGTAATGACGCCATTCGTTCGATTGGCATTTCATTTGTGGCTCGTACGAGTACGATTTCGCCCATGTCTCATCCAGCGTAATGGTACGGCGTAAGAAAACCTCTCCTTTGCACTCATAGCACTCCAAGTGGTTACGAGCAGCATCGTAACATAGCCATTTCTGCACTTCTGTCAAATCACTTGAAACCAACTGTGATGCAATTTTTCTCATGCCCAGGCGTTGCTTCAGAATGTGAAGCACAGTCGTATGTGCTAATCCTGTCTCTCGGGCCCGCTCACAAATCGTATGGCATCGATCACTCTCCAGTGCTCTCTATAGGTCATCTGGAGCAAAAATGTCTAATAAACTATAAGCTGATTTGACACTTACTGAGCAAAGCACTAGTGGAGTGAGCTAGAGTTGCTGTAACACAACTGAGTTCCTGCTTGTGTACTGTCTAGGCTAGGGTGGCACTGTTGTGTTGCAGTGTGACTGCAGTCAAAATGCCTAACACATTTATATATGGAGAATATGCCGAAATGCATTTTGTATACAGTTTCTGCAATGGAAATGGCAGGGCTGCTGTGGTGGAATACTGGCAAAGATATCCACTTCAGAGAATTCCACAATGAAAACCATTTAAGAACCCACACAAAACTTTGAGGAAGGCTGGTTCCTTCCCACAAGAGAAAGAATGTGAATGAAAGAATGGAGAAGATGCAAGCCCAAGCAAGTACACACAGAATTTCCAGGATGACTGGTGAAGCACAGACACAGGTATTGAGAATTCCCTTCCATGATGGTTTCTATCTGTATCACCTCCAATGAGTACCACACCTCTTACTGGAAGATCACCCCAGATATACAGTAGAACTTGGTTACGTCATCAAAGGGACCTAAAAATAGTGTCGTTATAAACGAATGTGTTGTAACCGAAATGGGCACTTCCACAGTAGCCTTATGTTAGTCACGTAAAAATCTACCAAAAATGTTAAAATGTTGAATTTTTTAGTGAAATGCGTAGTTAAGTACAGACTAACGTAACATTAACGTGGAATTAATATGGATTCTCCATATCGTTTGTACTGTAGAATTCACCAAACCAAATTCGCGGCATACATCAGCTTTTTTCCTTCCATTTTCTATTTCACGAAGCACTTTAACTTTCTCTTCA